TGGGCTGGGGAGGAAGGATAAGGGAGGGGGGAGGGGCAAAAGGGAGTCATTTCTTAATGTTCAGGCATTTTCTTGGTCCGCCTTGCTGTCTTCTTCTTTCACCTCTTCCTGCTGGGCACTTTCAGTAGGTTTGGTTTCTTCTACAGCATCTAGTGGAGAAAGAGATGGCTCATGGTTAGTTGTCCATATTTAGGGGAGTGCTCACATATATACTGCATAAGCATTGGCTGGTTCCAAGTTCTCTGTTCCCAAAATGGCACAGCTCAGAAAACTCTTACTCATGGACACCTATGTGAAATGAGTTCACTGGGGTGCAGTCCAGCACCTATTGGAGAGGTGCCTGCATCACACAAACTACCACCACCATAGGGACACGGGACTGGAAAGGCCTTCCTGGGGTCACTCCAGTCAGCCCCTTGCTGTCGTAGCCTATCACAACGTACAGATCATTGCACACAGTGCATTGATTAGCATCTTGGTTTAGGAGTGAAGACAAGAAAATGGCTAAAGACTGAATCTAACATACAGATACAATTGCAGGAATGAAAAAGAGCAATTAGGTCACTTAACATCTATTCCTTAGTGATTTCTTATCCCCAAGCCCCACCCCCAAACCTAGTTCTTAGTTTTTTCCCCACTCTATATCTATTGACACTTTTCTCTGTCTACTCTTAAATAGGCCATGACATCTTCACTGTCCCCCTCCCTCTCCTCTCTCCCTGCCCTGACTGTTTGGAAGTTTGTGTTGCCCATAGGGGGAAGGTTCTATAGCTTTGAATACAGATGAAAGCAAATTTGTATCTAAACTGACTAAGGCTTTGTAGAAATGGCTCTAAACCCCTATGGAAGTCAACAGATACTGAGAACCTGTCCTTAGATTATTTTTTAAAATAAACCTTACAGAAGTCTAGAGGTTGGATATAAAATTCTATGAGAGGTTTATAATCCCATTGAAGGGTTACTGTGGTCTGTTAAGGACTACAGAATTTCCCTTTCAAAGTACTCAAGCTGGAGCTGTGCCACTTTTGTAACTTGAGACCTTCTGCTCTCCATGCCTGTCATTCAGGCACATTTTACCAGCACTCAGGTCATGCAAAAAAGAAAAAAATAAATTTCAACAGTCAGAACATAGGAAGAGAGGGGAAACCTAGAGGAAATAACAAAGGTAGAAGTAGAGCTGTCCAAGTTGGCATGGACCTCCCTCTGTGCCATCCCTTTGCTTTGTGGCAGGACTGATGACATTGCCTGATTCCACTGCACTCTTTGGCAGACTAGTATCTTGTCTGAATCCAGGATATCACTGGTAAGATAAATCCACCTTAGTATGATCCCCATTTTGGGTTCAGTTCATCTCAGAGCTGCTTCCTTGTCTCTGCACCATGCTAGGAGGAAAAGATTCTCCCATGGTTGGCTAAGATGGCCTTAGGGTGATTTTGTACCAGTGGGGGGATAAAAAGCTAGCTTAAGCATCCTGGAGGACCTGACTCACTTTGTGCAGGTGTAAGTGACTTCACAAGACAAGGGAGTAGGAAATTCAGCTCATACTTGTGTTAAAAACTGAGCATATGAATAAAAGATCCCTATTATGTTTTCATAATAGTTGACTTCAGAACTGTCTGCCACTGTTGTATGTGGATTGGATACATTGCCAAAAAGTTACTGCTGGTGAAATGTCAGGAGCCAACAACACTGAAACCTTGTGTAATTCATGGAAGAAGCACAAAGGTGGAAGTGATGGGGCAGGACCTCCCTTCTACCACCTGGTCGATATGCCATAGCACTGGTGAAATAAAACAATTCCCTAGAAAGGAACTTGGTGGCTTGTGGCTCATTTAGCTCTGGAACTTGCTGCAGTGCTATCAGTGAGGGTGATTCTTAGAATGGGGACAGTTGCTGTGTAGGAATTAGATTGAGACCACCAACTCATATTTGCTAGGCTATTTCCTGCAAGCTGATGTTTACTATCAACCTAGGCCATAACCAAGGCTCCTAACCTGTCTTGTTAAAAAAACCCTTCCCCTTTGTCCTCTGTCCATAAGGATGGCTTTTCAAATGTGTGCAACTCCCATGCCTCTACTGTGTTAATTAAGAGCTCCACTGTGCTCACATTGCTTAGCTCTCCAACCCACTGTGCAATAATGAGTTCCTACTCTAATTGTTCCAAAAATCTTTTGGTGCATCCACATGGCCAACTCATCCTGCCTAAGTCCTCCCCCGGGCTGCCGACTTCCAGCCAGCAGAATCACACGTGCGTTTGCTTTCTCTTGCTCCTAAGCAACATCACCTAGCACTTCTCAAGACCTCCCCTGAATAATAGGTACAACAACTGCCATCCATGAGGAGTAAAATAAGATTACTGATTTAAATGGGAGGCTTGAACAGGCCATGCATGGTAAGGAGACCAAATAAGGCAGGGAATATTAGCTGCTCTAGTAAATTAGCAGGTTGCTGCAGTCATTCAGCAGTTGTGTACTCCTTCTAACCTTGCTCTTCTCTAGAGCTATAGCAGGTGTTTAGGCTGGGGAAATCAAAGCGTGGAGAGGAGACGTGATGGGTGAAACACAATAATTGGTAATTAGTGTGGGGCAAACCAGATAGACTGCTCCCCCACCCTCCCTCCATATCCAAGTACTTTGTTAGGCAGTGGCCTTCTGTCTGGTTTCTTACTAAGAACATACATGGGGTTGGGTCAATATTAACTTAATCTACTCCCCACAAACCCGATGAGAGGTGGGTAAAAATGATGGTGAAACCAAGACACAGAATGGCTTACATGGCCAGTCCTAGCTCCCTAATACCAGAAGCTCACATGAATGCTGCCTGGGCTGTTCTTGCTAGGTAGATACATAGATTTCACAGACATCAGGGCTGGAATGGACCTTGCAAGATCATCAGGTCCAGCCCCCTACCCAAGAGGCAGGAAGTCAGCTGGGGTCAAATAATCCCAGCAAAATAGGCATCCAGGTGTTTCTTGAAAGTGCCCAGAGTAGGTGTTTGCACCATGTCTGCAGGCAGTCTATTCTACATGTGAGACTTTAGAGCATAGGAACTACATAATGTACCATGGCATCTCTCTGGTAAGCTACAGGGGTTGTAGATGGCCTCTCTGCCTGCCAGAGAATAGCCTTTCTGCAGAGAGAGCATCCAGGTAGCACAGAATTCATGTGTATAGTGGCTCTATGCCCACTCCCTTCATTTCCCTCCCCATGGGAGTTACAACTAGAACCCAAAGGACTATATTTTCATAGTTTCATAGTTGGCAGGGTCGGAAGGGACCTGAGCAGATCATCAAGTCCGACCCCCTGCCAGGGCAGGAAAGAATGCTGGGGTCAGAGAAGGAGCAAGCACCACTTTCCTTGGAAGTTGGTTCCAGATCCAAGCCGCCCTAACTGTGAAGTAGTGCTTCGTGATGTCTAGTCTGAACCTGCTCTCAGTCAACTGGTGACTGTTATTCCTAGTTACTCCTAGTAGTGCTTGGGGCAACAGGGACTCTGCCGTTCCCAGCAGGTCCCCCTTGGTCAGTTTATAGACAGCCACCAGATCCCCTCTCAGCCTTCTCTTGTGGAGGCTGAACAGGTCCAGCTCCCTTAGCCACTCCTCATAGGGCCTGCCCTGCTGCCCCCTGATCATGCAAGTGGCCCTCCTCTGGGCCCTCTCATACTGTACACAGCCAGGCATCATTTAGAAAAGCCTGGAACCTGCTCTAAGTTATGCTTGCGCTGAAATGACCCCTGGTTGTCTGTGAAATCAAGGATCTACAAAAACAGCTTAAAAGCTACTTTTTCCACCTAGCTAAGTTCTTCACTTGACCTTAGCTGGACCAAGGGGTCAAGTCAGGGAAGCCTTGTGCATCTTTCACTAATTTTCAAAAGAAAAGTTCGAATTGGGAGACTGCATATTGGTTCTCTTGCTGGACCAGGAGAGTAAATTACTGGTGTGATGGCAGGACCCTTATGAGATAGCACACCAAGTAGGGCCTGTGGATTACAAAGTGCATCAGCGAGACAGGCAAAAGAAAAAACAAGTGTACCATGTTAACATGCTGAAGCCATGGCAAGAACAAGAAGGCCTATACTTGGCCCTACAACTGGATGAACCGGAGCTGGGACCCTCCCTGAGGAAGGGGGCTGGGAAAAGTGACGTGGAGGCGGCCCCCTGACTCTCAGAAGAGCAGAGGCGGCAGGCAATAGAACTCATGAAAGAGTATGGCAATGTCTTCCAGGAGGTTCCCGGGGAAGCTCGGGCCGTGATACACCAAATAAGAACTCCTCCAGGCCAGGTGATCCGTGAAAACTGGAGGCGAATCCCACAACATCTTCAAGGGCAGATAAAAGAGGAGCTCAAGATGATGTTAGAGAAAGGTATAATACAAGATTCCCAAAGTGATTAGTGCAGTCCCATTGTGGCAGTGCTGAAGCCAGATGGGAAAATTAAAACTCTGTATTGATTTCAGAAAAGTAAATGTGGTGGCTAAGTTTGATGCATACCCGATGACAAGGGTGGACGAAATGGTGGAGAACATCGGACAAGCCAGCTATAGTTCCACATTGGACCTCACAAACGGCTACTGGCAGGTCCCCTTAATACTGGAAGACTGAAAAAAGACAGCCTTTGCCACACCATGGGGCCTATTCCAGTTCCGCTGTATGCCCTTTGGATTACACGGAACCGCTGCAATGTTTCAGCAGCTAATGGACAAAGTTTTAGCCCCTCATGGGGGCTATGCCACGGGATATATAGATGACATTATTGTGTATATGGCAGATTGGTTGGGGCATTTAACAGCACTGTGAGCAGTATTGCAGGACTTAAGGGAGGTGGGGTTAACCGCCAACCCGAAGAAATGCACCATTGGGAAGGAGGAAACACGGTGCCTGGGATTCCAGGTGGGAAGCGGTAAAGTACGACCTCTGCTGGATAAAGTAGAGGCACCAAGGAAGTATTAAACACTGTGAACAAAGAAACAAGTGAGGGCTTTCTTGGGGCTGGCAAATTATTATAGAAAATTAATTCCTCACTTTGCAGATCTAGCGGTGCCCCTGACTGAGATGGTAAGGGCTGCAGCTCCAACCAAAGTGAGATGGACACCGGAGGCAGAAACAGCATTCCAAAAGGTAAAGGATGCACTTTGTACACAGCCACTGCTATA